AAAAGGGAAGGTTTGCACCAGGTGGTAGAAACCTTGAATGCCCTAAAGGTAAAAATTCAGGTTATTTTCTAGCAATTCATAACAAAATCATTGTGGATAAAACCATGTCCTTTAGTGATGCTGAGAAAGGGGACACAGCATTGCCCAGCCCTCGAGGTGGGTCTCTTCCTCTCAAGGAATTAATATGTATTTGAATCATGAATTCCTGTTACCTGGAGAATATCTTGCAATTATGTGTGGCAATTCATGTTTTGTTTTCTTAAATCCATCCATTTAGTATTTACTTCTTGTTTACAACTATACTCTGAACCTTATTTTAGGAGGATGTAGCTAATAAAAGCGAGGTATTAATTTACTTTTCTATCTAGGTAATGAAGTATATATGTGTATACTTTGGAGGAAGTGAAGCAGATGAGCTGGTATTTATTGAGGGCCATATATACCACCCAGTATGTAGGTAGCTTTGTTCACGCCATCCCAGTCAGTCCTCACAAACAGCTCTTACAAACAAGTAGTGGTTATCTTCTTTTATAGGTAAGGAAATTGAGGTTTTGAGGGGTCATGTCCAAGTCACATTGCTAGTAATTGTCAAGGGGGAAATCCGAAGGTGGGTCTCCCTACTTGTATGAGAATTGCCAGTCATTCATAGCATTGTTCTTTAAGCTCTCAAAAGTCGACAGTGAAGGGATTGCTGTGCTCTTCATATATAGAAGCTTAAGGCCAGGAGGTAAAAAATGATGTGGATGGAGAGCAGTTACAAGTGATATTTACTAGCCTGCAAAAATAAGAACAGAAAATGGGCCAAGAGGAGGATTCCTTATAGCCAGGCAGAAACGTCTGCTAGAATATGTAGGAAGGAATCACAGCATCATAGGACTTGAGTGAATGTGAGCCTGAGGGAAGATTGGTAGCAGTGATTTTATCAGAGTGAGTCATCTGACAGCTCTAATCAGAATCACCCCCTTTATTACAGCTTAGGTCATCCATGTGCCTATTTCTAGAAAAGATTGAATCAAGACAAGTGAAACATACCTGAAGATCCTGGCCTGAACATTATAATTGACCTGGCAAGAAAGTGAGCTTCAGATTTGACAACTCTGTAGTGGTGGTGGTGGTGATGTTAGAAGTACTTAACAGTCTGTTTTCCTTCTACAGCATTATTTTCCAAACTTCTACAACTCCTGGAGGGGGAGGAAATCGAAAATATGCTTCCAGGGATCTTGAGGTATCAGCTATAGTGATCAGGAATTTTTTTTTTGAAATCTCCTCTTTTATCGTTATGCAATCTTCATTTCCATATCTATTTGTTTTAATTGAAATAAATTCTTTTATGTGTTAAATATTTCCTCACCCCCATCCTAAATTGCCCAGTAGAATTGAGAGTCTGGGAAGTTGTGCTTGTTTCACTGGCCTGGCATCTCCCACCCCTACGCAGGACAGGTGCCTAGTGTGAGAAGCACCGTCTCCCAGGGTTTGAGCTCCCGCAGAGGCTTTACAGGTAGCACACGGGGCTGCCACACCCCTGTTGACTCCCTACCCCTGTGACTCCCTCCCTTTTTGTTCCTCCAGCCTCTCAGGTAGAGATTCCCTGTTTATCACACTGTCATGGTCTCTTTCTTTCACTTGATTGGCATGACCCTTATTTTAAGGGCTTCATCTCTTGATGTGTCCAACAGTTTTATTTTTGGAATTTCTTTTTTTTTTGTCTTACCGGGGGAACATAACCAGATACATTACGTCTATCTGAGTCTTGCAGGTACATACTTTTTCCTCACGATGCTGCTTGCTATTTCACTTAAGGCACAGTTACTGCAGATACGACATGACAGAGGGCAGGCTTAGCCTGGGTGTTGTTTGCGGCCAGTCTCCTCTGGCACTGAGTCAGCATGAAGGCCCAGCTCTGTGTGTGTGGAGTTGGGGGTGGGATGGGGAAGCAAATTGTCATCTCTGTCTCTTGGATAGGAGGGAACGAGCGCAGGCCAGCACGTGCGGAAACTAATTTCAGGTCGCGAGCGAGTGCCAGCTTTATGATTGTTATATACGTTGTGTTTTCTAGTGATTCCCAGCTTTTGTTACAGCCTTGCCAAGAGTTGTTGAGTGCTGTTTGGTAATTTAACAGCAGCAAGGATTTCCTTTGTAAAGTATTTTTATACCTAAATGTTATATGAAAAGGATTATTGCTGATGTACTGATACTAAAGACTTGGTTCACGTTAAGCCCTCGAGTCCTTTGTTTAGGGCATCATTTGGGTCCAACCTGTTTTCTTCTCCTGAAACCCCATTGTCCACCTTGAACTGGTCTAATTTTGCTTGATCGCATGTTTCCCCACTGTCCCTCGCAGAACCATCTTTTGTACCAATGCAATTGCATTTCTGTCTTTTGAATGATATCCACTACAAAAATAGCTTTTTTACATAGGCCTTGCAGGTTTCGAAATCTTTTTTTTTTTTTTTTTTTAACGTGTCCTTGTATCTTCAGAAGTATTCTATGAGATAGACTGCTTGGGGATTGTTATTACCCATTTTATGAATGAGAAAAGAAGGTACCAGTGGCTGTGACTTGCAACTTCGTGCAAAGCCTCAGGTCTGTGGGGTTTCAATCTGCTGAACCATTCTGCTTCAGTACCCTAGTGTCTAGAAACATTTTCTGAAAGTCTTCCAGTTTTCCTGAAAGTGGGAAGGATTTATTATGTAGGTTGAGTTGTTTACAGAGAAGAAGATAGCTTTAAAATATTTCAGGATTTTTTGTTTTTTAAGTTTTAGATTCAAGGAAGAAACAATGAGGGTTCTGAGTTTCCAAATAGGACTGGTTGCTATATTAGGCAGATTAAAGATGTTTGCTTCCTGAGAACAAAGCAGACTGAACCAGAGAAGATAGTGGCTAAGGTTTCCATTATTCTCTTTATTTCTGGGAATAATAGTGTTTTATGCCCCCTTTGTTGAAATATTATGAGACCGTCATGGGTGGAAGAGTCACACTTTGTGGTTCTTACTAGGAATTTCTGTGTCCATGAGGTTTCTCAAAAGTAATATTAGAGGTTCTCTAGCTGTGTGAGAGTTTTTGAAAATCTGATAAAAATGGTACATTTCCATGAGGTAAAGCCATGAATCTTCATATGTCAAGCTTCTTTACTTTTGGCTGGAATTTAATAAACCTGGTTAGAAGCTCTGGTTGGCAGCACATGGCCTAATCAATTAATTATTTTTGAGAGTTGTCATTTGTAGACAAAGAGTCCATGAGGAGAGAAAATAATCAAGTGACTGGTCTCCTGACAGTTGGAGTCTGAGATCTGTGCTGCCGTGATGGAGGATGTCCACCAGGGGGCACCAAGGATTTGCTTAACTGTTGGCTCCCCAGCTAGTTAGTTAGTGCCTGGACCACCTGAAGCCCATTTAACCACCCCCCCCCCCCACCCCCAGCCCCTTGTAAACTATGGCTCAGGTGCAGCCACACCCTCAGCTCCGGTCCCTGACTTCCCCTGCACCCACCCCCTCAGCACTGCTGCTGATGCTCCGTATCTCACCACATTCTGCCTGCAGTGAAGGCTGTGGGTGTTGACTCCTCTCCTGGATGGGAAGCTTCTTCAGAGAAGCGCCAGCGGCATTTACTTTCAAGATTATTCCTTTCGGTATTTCCAGCAGTGCCGGGCACAGGACCTCTGAGTTGCAGTGTTAACATCTCTTGGTGATCTGTGGGCTAGTTGTGTACTCCATCGAACTCACCTTCAGTGTGTTTTTTGGTCTTGAAGAGCATGCATAAATGACTTCTTGGGCGGCAGCGGGGGATTTTGTGTCTGTAGGTTGTGTAGTTTCATAAACCTTACTCTAAACTGCACCCTGACCAACCACTTTCACTAACTTCCAAGACAGTTACAGAGATCACTCCTGTGGAATGATGGGTCTTCCCTGCAGCCCTGCAGTTGGCCTTGGCGGTGGGACTTCCCTGCGTGTTAGGCAGCAGATGGCCTCGGAGTTGTTAGGCTGTGCGCCGTGTGGGTAGGAGCTTGGGAAAAGCAGAAAAGAATCCTCTGTAGCTCTCATCCCTCTGCCTTATCTGGGCTCCCAGCGGGGCCTCCCACAGCGAGCGGGCTTGGCCTGGAAGGGAGGCCTCTTGCCAAGGAAGGGCCGGCCCAGGAGGAGCAGTAGTACCGCAAGCATATTGTAGCTGGATTGTGTCATTTTATTGGAGACCATTAAGGAAATGGACGTTCATTTTTTTCTTTTCCAGAAAGCAGATAATGGCTTCTAAGCCAATTGGAAGGAAATTTGAAAAGGTTTCATAACAGTGTTATTTCATTATTACAGCCATCCTCCACAGGCAGCCAAGTTGTTTTCAGGCCTGACCCTGGCTCTGGCGTTTTCGTTGTGTGGATACCTTTCCAAAGTGTCTGATTTGATGACACATTCAGGGGTTCTGTGTTTGATAGCAGACCCAAGAGTGTGCAGAACTCTGAGCAAACAGCATTTACATTTATGTAATGTAATTTAAAAAATGAGCCACAGTCTAGGTGATACTGGAGATGGTAATACTGATGTGGAGTGTCTGGGTGTTTCTTGAAAGGCTGTTTGTTTAGCTCCCTAGTGAATTTGGTAAACTAAGGCCATATTTTTATTTCTAGAGCTGGGAGTTCCCCAAGCTGGCCGTTTTGACCTTTGAATGTTAGGAGCACCAGAAGTTCTGATTATGAGACAGAGAGAAGGTGTCACCTTTTCATGTCCATTAAAAAACCCAGGACTCACTCCTGACACCCCTTTGTCTCTTTGGCTCTTTGGGATGGCATTGCTTTAAAGACAATCAGAATCTACCTGTTAAATGCTCATCTTCTCTGTGAATCTGTGTCTTGGTTATTATTACCTTTGGCAGCTGAATTTAAATCCATTGGGGGTGGGGTGGGGTAGTTTGTAAGTACATTTTCAGAAATGCATCTTAAAGCTTTTCAGGAAAAATTTGGGACCTGCTAGTGCAAATTAGCATCGCAAATATGGCTGCTTTGCTTTTAGGTGATCGGCGAGGACAATGTTGCGGTGCCCTCCCACCTCTACAAGGTGATCCTGGCGCGCAGAAACCCGAGGTCTGCTGAGCCCCTGGCACTAGGGGCCTTCGTGGTGCCCAACAAGGCCATTGGCTTCCAGCCCCAATTAAGTGAGTTCCAGGTGAGCCTGCAGGAGCTGGAGAAGTTGTCAGGACTGGTGTTTTTCCCTCATCTGGATAGGACTAGTGACATCAAGAACATCTGCTCGGTGGACACCTGTAAGCTCCTGGATTTCAGGGAGTTCACTCTGTACCTGAGTACAAGAAAGATTGAGGGAGCCCGATCGGTACTCAGACTGGAAAAGGTCATGGAAAATTTGCAGAACGCAGGCATTGAACCTGATGAGGAGTTCATGACTCGCTACAAGAAGAAGCTGGAAGAACTCAAAGCTCAGGAGCAGTCAGGAGTCCTGGAGAGAAAGTCCTCGTAGTTCACGTCTCAGAAGCGTGATGTCATCTGTCATGAAGCAGGTGCGGCCTCTTTAGATACTGTATTTTAGTGGCTTTGTTTTAAAATGATGGAATCCTAAATTTCAGACTAAATTTCTCCCCAAAAGATGTCAGATGTTTTGGTTGGTGTTTTATTTGACGTGGGAAACTAAGGAAACTGTTAACGCCTGCAGATCACGGGCTGGTCTTGTGTCAAGTTAACAGGAGGGCTGTGTCTGCGGGATGACGCTGTGTGCCTGTCCCTCTGGATGTATTGTATGTGAAGGCGTTATATTTTCTGCCTCTAAATCGTACAGTGTCTTTGATGTATCTGCTCAGCCTTCTTGGAACCCAAGATTGTACGTGTTCTTTCCCTGGGACTTGAGCTGGTCTTAGAGATGGCTTTTAGATAACCTCTATGCATTGTCCTGACCACGTGTATCATATATTTGTTTCTTGTTCCTCCTCTCATGGACCTGCTGTTCCTCCTCTTCTGTTATGCAGAAGCACTCAACAACTGCATTTTCTGCTCACTTAGTGTGTTCTGTATGCTAAGCTAAGTGCTTTACACGTATTATCCTACAGCTACCCTCTGAGGGAAATACCACTATCCTCATTTTACCCTTGAGGAAATCGAGGCTTAGAGAGCTGAAGTATTTTGCCCAAGGTTCATCTTCCCAAAGAAGTAATCCACAAGGAATGAGGCATATAACATGGGGTACGTTAAAATCTTCCCTGACACAGAGGCTCAAGGACATACCTCCGTGGGTGTCTGTGATCCTGGGGCTTGCTTGGTAAGAGGGGTCTGGTTTCTTGTCTGCAGTCGAGCCATAGGGACTTGAATGTCCTCTGACTTGAACTCTCCTTAGTTCTTTGGGAAGAAACAGTCACAGGTATTTGAATGTTAGAGGACAGTGCTTCCTGGGGTTTATCTGAGTCTCTGCTGGCCTTCAGAAATGCAGTTCTTCTAGTGCCTGGCTGGTGCCAAATCGATGTGTTCCTTGCTTTCCAGATGGGCTTTTTGTGAATCTCTGCCCACAGATTCACCAGCTCATGGCTTGCTCGCCTTTGTGCCTGCCTGTCTACCTGGTTGGCCCAAAGACCCAAAGACAGTTAGTTACCTCTGGGGGAAACAGTGTCTGTTTTTCTGAGCCAGATCTCTAGATTTGGGTTTACGTGGAATCCTTTCATGGGCTGTCATAAGTGCAGACAGTAATATATCTTCAAATAGAGCATAGGAACTTGTCTGTGTCCTGTCAGTACTGTCTTTCCAAGTGGTGTTACCAGAACAGTTTTTGTGGTGTTTTTGTGTTTGTCTCTAACAGAAATGCCAAGGTGTTAAGATAAAGGTAAGATGAGATGGTTGATCTTGTTCTGCTTTATTCGGGTAAACAAGAAAGAAGTTGGGGGGTCAGAACACTTCAGCCCGGTTAATGCCGGCCTGTTTTATCCCACTGTTCCCCATTAGCTTGTGCCAGTCTCTTTCTTCTCAAGGAGAAAGAGCCCAAATGTCACTGTGACCAAAAACATCTGTTACTTTTTCTCCTTCTTGAAGAGGTGACAGTGGGGTCTGGGTGTTCTTCCAGGAGCCCGAGGGCGGCTCTGTGGGAGAGGTCCTACCGCCCATCTCCAGAGGTGAGTCCCCGTCCACTGTCCCCCGAGCCTGTCACTACGTTCTCCTCTGACCTCAGTATCCAGCAGCCTTGGGGTTATTCCCATGCTGTTCTCACTCCTGTGCCTCCACCTCGATGGTAGAAAGTCTTGATTTTTAGATCAGTAAATTAAAGTGTCTTAACACATTTTTAGTTCCTATGAAAAACGCTACCTAGTCATTGTGAAAAAGAGATAACTACTTATAATAAAAAAAAAAATGTGTCTCCCAATCCTCATTATTATATGTAAAAGTTTTGTTGGTATAAAACAAGTGATGCTTGAATTGTTGTCTCAACACTTCCACTAAGAGTCCCTCCAAAACAAACTGAAATGTAAACACTGGGTAGAGCTCAGGACTTTCCTCTGGATCAGATCACTTCCGCCTCCCCCGTGGGACTGTTGAGTACTTGGACTCAGACGCAGCAGAGCCCTAGACCTCCCCCCAGCATCAGGTGTGTCCCTCTGGTCAAAGAAGGACCTCATTACTGACCTGAGCCAATCATCATCCAGCCGGGCCCTCTCCGGGTCTTGCCGCGGTCTCAGGCTACACCTGGGACTCTGCCTTCCACTCTGTTTATGCTCAGGGAGCCCCTGGTCTGAGGGAGGCTGCCGAGGGAGAAGGGCCCAGGCTCTGCTGCTGGGCCACCCGTCTGGGGGCGAGGGACTCACTCCCTAATCTCTCTCCACCTGCAGTAACATCTTTATTTCGAGACTTCAGGCTCTTTGGTCTATGGATTGAGACTGTTTCACCTATATCGTATGCAGCAAAGGGGGACCTTACACAAGTGGCAAAGGTAGGATGGGTGTGCTAGCCCCTTAAATACCTGTTAGTGTTTCTGCACTTGTGCCTCCATCTTCAAAAGGCTGAAAACCTCCGTCCCTCCTTCAGGACTTAGAATAGAGCCCAGCAGGAGATAGAGTCTGATCTCAAGGGAATGAATGGCTTCCTACAGAGCTGGGCTCAGCCTGCAGCCCTGCTCTTGGAGTGACCGTGAGTATTACCACATCGCCTGTGTTCCCCGCCTTGATCGTGAGTCCATAAATGTCATTGGCGTTAACACGATGAATCTCCAATTTCCCGTCAGCGGCCTGTCCCCGACCCCAGGGTCCGCTGCTCTGTTCCCTGCTAACTCCCTACCACATCCACCCCGTGTGCCCGTCCCCTTTCTGGGCCCTCACTCTCCTCCTTGAGCCTCTAATTCATTCTGGTGGAGCTGGTCAGGGGTGGCCTCACATCGACCATGGAACCCCTGCTCTTGCCCACGCCCATGCCCAGCTTCTTCGTCTGGCCTGCTTTTCTGGGTGTCGTCATGGAGATGGTCTATCATGGTCTATCAGTGCTGTTTTTCCAGTCCAGCCTCACCTTCAGGGACCAACCCTCAGGTCATCAGAGGGCCGAGTGGGATGTACCACACTCTGTATAATTTGGGGCAAGGGGAGATGGGGTGCTTGGATGGGCTTCTCTTCCATGTTCTTGAACTTGACAATTCGGCCAAGGGCTGGTCCCCTCTGAGTGCACAGCACTCTGACTGCATGGCACTCTAGGGGTCAATGTGGCCTAATGCCACACTGCTGGGACCCCTCAGTCAGCAGGCTCTCAGGCTAGATAGGACAGGAGGGTCATTTTGTCCAGTACGCCTCATGTTTGGCTCACGTCAGAGTAGCCTAGGGAGTTTAATCCGCCCCCCCCAATTTTATTTTGAATAATTTCAAGCTTTCAGAAAAGTTGAAAGTGCAATGAATGCCCTCCCTCAATATTGTGTCTCATTGGTGTTCTTTTCTTGAACCATTTAAAAGTAAATCATTGTCTAAAAAAAAGTAAGTTGTAGACACAGCACTTCACTTTTTTTTTTTGTTTTTTTACTTTATTTTTTTAAAATTGAAGTATAGTTGATTTACAATGTTGTATTTCTGCTGTACGGCACAGTGATTCAGTTACACATATATATATTCTTTTTTTATATTCTTTTCCATTATGGTTTTTTTAAAATTAATTAATTTATTTTTGACTGCCTTGGGTCTTCATTGCTGCACACGGGCTTTCTCTAGTTGTGGCGAGCGGGGGCTACTCTTTGTTGTGGTGCACGGGCTTCTCATTGCGGTGGCTTCTCTTGTTGCAGAGCATGGGCTCTAGGTGCGTGGGCTTCAGTAGTTGTAGCACATGGGCTCAGTAGTTGTGGCTCGCAGGCTCTAGAGCGCAGGCTCAGTAGTTGTGGCACACGGGCTTAGTTGCTCTGCGGCATGTGGGATCTTCCCGGACTAGGGCTCGAACCCGTGTCCCCTGCATTGGCAGGCGGATTCTTAACCACTGCGCCACCAGGGAAGCCCTCCATTATGGTTTATCATAGGATATTGAATATACTTCTCTGTGCTATACAGTAGACCTTGTTGTTTATCCATTCTATATATAATAGCTTACATCTGCTAACCCCAACCTCCCACTCCATCCCTCCCCCAACCCCCTCCCCCTTGGCAACCACAAGTCTGTTCTCTGTGTCCGTGATTCTGTTTCTGTTTCATAGGTTCATTGTGTCATATTTTAGCTTCCACATGTAAGTGATGTCATATGGTATTTGTCTCTGTCTGACTTCACTTAGTATGATAATCTCTACTTGCATCCATGTTACTGCAAATGGCATTATTTTGTTCTTTTTTATGGCTGAGTAATATTCCATTGTATGCACCACATCTTCTTTATCCATTCATCTGTTGATGGGCATTTAGGTTGCTTCCATATCTTGGCTATTGTGAATAGTGTTGCATTGAACATTGGGGTGCATGTATCTTTTCAAATTAGAGTTTTCTCTGGATATATGCGCAGGAGTGGGATTGCTGGATCATATGGTAGCTGTATTTTTAGTTTTTAAAGGAGCCTTCATACTCTTCCCCATAGTGGAGAATTAATTCTTAAATAGAATAGGTCCCCAATGAATCATCCATCCTGCTTGCCAAGTACTCTTTGGGCCACATGTAGGAGGCCTGAGGGCCAGCCAAGGAGGTGGCCTTGAGGAGGCCTCTTGCCTCTCGTGGCACCTTTCTTGTCCTAGTCAGAGACCAGAGGCGCCTCCACCCACTCTTGGGTGCTCTGTCCCCCAATTTTGCATCCAAAATTGCTCCCAAGTTTCTCACCCTCCACTGTCCCCATCCTAGTCCAAGCCCATCATCTCTCCCTACAGAGACCACCTGACCTGTTTCCCCTCATCTTTTCTTATGCCCCACAGATCTTTCCCTCAGAGCAAGAGGTGGGATCTTTCTAAAGTACAAACCCAGATGGCAACCGTGCCCCTCCCTGCAAATAATAGAAAGCATGTACAACAAGGCACCTCTTTGTGTGCCCCTGGGTCATGTCCACACTCTGCTCCTGGCTCCCCCTCACTCCCATGCCAGCCACGTGGGCCACCTTTCCCTTCTGGACCAGGCTGCGACCCTTCCCTCTCTCTGCCTGGCAACACCCACCTCAGTCAACAAAAATGCCATGTCTTCATCAGAGGTCTTCCCTGATGCCGCCCCCTGGATATTCTTACTCGTTGTACTTTGTCCCCCACCCCGTCACTGTTTTGTAATTATAAAGAGCCCTGGTTTGTGGATTTTGAGGTTAATGTCTGTCTCCCCAGGATGGCATGGGCCTCCTCTGTTTGTGCTCATTTTTTTAACTCCAGAATCTGGGAGATGTTCAGCACATGTTTGCTAAAGGAAGAATGGACAGATGCCTCGGATTCCCCAGCTTGCCCCATGTGTAGGCTGACATCACTTAGCAGGAGTGAGTGAGTGAGGAAAGGGACTCCTTTGGCTCCGGGGCCTCCTGTCCCTCACGCCTGGGGAGTCCCGCTGCCGCCAGGCCCGCTGGCCAGGCTGTGGCCCCACTGCTCCGTTTTTATTTATCCTGCAGACGTCAGAGTCTCTACAGGAGGAGGAGGGTGGTCACGCAGCAGCTGGGGCTGACGGGAAGCAGACACATGGGGCCAGGTGGTCCTCAGCCGGGGCACAGGAGCAGAGAAATCAGCACGGGGGGCTCTGCAGCTGGGGCCTGGCAGCAGGTGGGTGGTGAGGGCTGGGCGGGCTGCCCATAATCGAGGAGCTGACAGTGCGCGTAAAGAGCCCACTTAGTGGAAGTGGAGGACTCGGGATGGGAAGTCCAGAGCTTCAGCACCCCGACCCAGCCGTGCCCCTGGCCTCTGGTCTTCCTCACGCCTCCTGTACTCCAGCCCCTCACTACCTCCTAGTCTCCCTGCTCTGGGCTTCTAGAACCCCCAGGCCCCCAGCCCCTGTGACGCCCTCCGCCCTCCCAGCCTCCCTGTCCCTCAGCTCCCCAGTCGCCACCTCTGGCCCGTCCTGCCAGCGGCCTGGGCCCTGCTGGCCAGCCCCCTTCTCTCACCTCCTTCCACTCCCTGTGGTGCCCTGGCAACAGCCCCAGGTCTGTGTGGACTGATTTCCCGACACTCCTGTCCTCTCTGCCCCACATCCCCAAGGAGGGGCTCTCTTGGGGATCCAGCTTCCCCCAGAGGTCAGGTGGGGGGAGAGTGTGGCTGATGGAGGGCCTGGTCCCCCCCCCACCCTGAGCTGTGGAGCTGAGCTAGGGAGAGGGTGGTGTGGGGAGAGGGAAGGGCATGTGGGGCACTGTGGGGCAGGGGATGGGGTCCCAGAAGGGCCACACTACCTTCCCAGCTTCCTTGGTCTTGCTGGCGCCATCTGCCCTTCCCAGCTCTTCCTCAGTCTCCACTGTCCCCCCCTGGTCCTTCCAGCTTCTCATGGTCCCTCTCATTGGTGACTGAGGAGCTGGGGCCTAGGCCATTCTGCGTGTCAGGAAGGACGGGCTGCGGGGAGCTTTCTGCTGCATTGTGTGTGTAACTAGTGTCCCGGGAGGTGGGTGGCTATCGGGGGTGCCCCTGGGTGGAGGAAGGGACCTGTGAGGGGTGTGTCAGTAAACAGAGAGCAGTTCAGGAAATCAGTGGATGTTACTGTGGAAGGGGCTTAGAGATTGCCCCTAACCATTTACAGATGAAAACACAGGGCTCTGGAAGAGGGAAATTGGATGGGCATGAACAAGTCACATGGGGGCTGGTAATCATGCTCATCATTATCATGCTGGATATTTATTAAGTGCTACTGTGTGCTAGGGATTATTGTAAATTCCTTATGTGTCTTAGTTTACACAACCCTCACACTACCTTAGGAGGTAAGTATTGTCATGCCCATTTTACAGATGAGAAAAGGGAGACTAGAACAGTGAGGTCAGTTTCTCCACATGGTGCAGCAAGCCCATGCAGAGCGGTGGAATGTTGTCACACTGCACAGGGAGTTTTGCTCCTTCAAATGGTGGCATATGTATTAATATATAAAGCATTTCTTTAGAGCTCCTTAAAAACAATAGCAGACATTTCACCAAGGAGGATATAGGAATGGCTAATAAGCACATGAAAAGATGCTCAACATCATTTGTCATCATTAGTCATCAGGGAAATGCAGATTAAAATTATAGGATACACCCACCCAATTGGCTAAAATTAAAGGAAAAAAAGAAGACTGACAATTCCAAATGTTGGCATGGATATGGAGCAACTGGAACTCTTTTTTTTTTTTTTTTTGTGGTACTTGGGCCTCTCACTGCTGTGGCCTCTCCCATTGTGGAGCACAGGCTCTGGACGTGCAGGCTCAGCGGCCATGGCTCACGGGCCCAGCCGCTCCGCTGCATGTGGGATCTTCCCAAACCAGGGTGCGAACCCGTGTCCCCTGCATCGGCAGGCGGACTCCCAACCACTGCGCCACCAGGGAAGCCCGAGCAACTGGAACTCTCACTGCTGGTGGGAATGAATGATGAACAACCACTTTGGAAAACATTTGACAACTTCTATAGAGTTAAACATATACTAATCAGATGAAACGGATTAGTTGTCCCCTGAAACTAAATTTCTAGGCATTTACCCAAGAGATAAAAACATATGATCACACAAACACAAGTACACAATGTTGATAGCGGCAGCTTTCTTCCTGATGGCAAAAAACTGTAAACAACCCAAATGTCCAGTCCATCAACTATTGAATGCGAAACCAACCATGGTACATCCATTTAATGGAGTACCTCTCAGCAATGAAAAGGAACAAACCGACACAGGCAGCAACACGGATGAGGTTCAAATGCATTATGCTAAGTGACAGCAGCCAGACACAAAGGCTATGTGCAGTATGATTCCATTCAAATGAATGCTCCAGAAAAAAGAACTACAGGAGCAGAAAACACCTCAGTGGTTTCCAGGGACTGGGGCTGGGTAAGGGGTTGAATGCGAAGGAGCATGAGGACGTGATGGAAATATCTGATATCTTGATTTTGGTGGTGGTTATTACTGCTTATACATTTGTCAAAACTCACCACACTGCGCATTTAAAAAGAGTGAATTTTGGGACTTCCCTCGTGGTCCAGTGGCTAAGACCCCAAGCTCCCAATGTAAGGGGGCCGGATTTGATCCCTGGTCAGGGAACTAGATCCCACATGCTGCAGCTAAGACCCAGCGCAGCAAAAATAAATAAATATTAAAAAAAGAAAGAAGGGTTAAGGTCTTAAAAATAAAAAGGATGAATTTGTTACGTGTAAATTATACCCCACAGAATGTGATCTAAGTATAGAAACAGTGGGCTGGAGAGGATAGAAAGTACGATGGTCATTGTTGCCTCATTGCGAAAGTGACATCCGAGGAAAGAGGGGCGCCATGCACTCTCTGGGAGAAGACTGTGACGGAGTGGGAACAGCCACTGCTGAAGCCCTCAGGTGAGGCGTGCACGGCCTGGGCAGGAGCCAGCAGGGAGCTGGTGTGGCTGAAGTGGAGCAGGAGCTGGGGTTGTAGACGGGCTCAGACAGGCCCTGGGGAGCGGGGTGCATTGGGGGGCTGCAGAGGGCTCAGGCTGTTCTCTGAGTGTGATGGGGGCCACTCGGGGGTTCTGTGCAACTTGCCTTTTAATAGACGCCACTGGCTGCTGTGTTGAGAAAGGTCTGGGCCAAGGACCAACCAGGAGGCCTTTGTAAGAATCCAGGTAAGAGGCGTTGGTGGCTCAGACCAGCATGGCGACGGTGGTGTTGAGGAGTGGTCTGACTTGGGATATATTCTGAAGGCAGAGCCGGCAGGATTTCCTGCTGGATTGGATGTGGGGTGTGTGAGAGAGAGGGGGTAGGGATGATGCCAGGGTTTTTGGCCTGAGCAGCTGGAGCTCCAGCTGAAAACCCCATGGGGGCTGCTGACCGGTGTTACCTGTCCCCTGGGGCCTGTGGCTGAAGTCAAGACAGACATGGGAGGGCTCGGCCCTGCTCCTGGCTCTGGGGCTCAGGGGATGGGCTGCCTGTACTGGTTATTCCATTACCCTTTATTTATTGGCCTTATTGGCTTTTGTCATTTCCTCATTGTCTCCTGTCTGGAGAGAAGACTATAAATGTGATGGATTGATACAGGATACAGGAGGCCCAATTATCTCTATCGAGCCAGCCTCTCCTCTTGGTCAAGCCCTCCCCGTTCTCCATCTTTGCAGCATCTCCCATTGCCTTGCAGGCAGAAGCAGCCTGGTCCCTGGCTGTCCAGGAAGAGGGAGTGCAGCCCAAGAGGGTGAGTGGCAGACAGACGGTCCCCAGGAGACACGGCTCCAAGAGCAAATACAGGAGGCAAGCTCAGCCCCACAGAGGCCGGGCCGGAGGACAGGGGGGTGGGAGGGCAGGATGTACCGCCGCCAGTCAGCCCACATCCGGGGAGGGGGGCTCTGCTTCGACTTGCACGCCTTTCTGGAATCCGAGCTGGTGCCTCCCTCCACGAACGCTGGGGCGATGGGGCTTTTCTCTCCGGCAGCAGGTGCCTGGCAGCTGCCCGTGGATGCCAGCCCCGTGAACTGGCCTGGGAGGAAGTGCCTGTCGGAGTGGTGATTGTACGTGCTGGGCTTGGGCTTGGGCTTGGCCCTGGCCCGTCCCCTGCCCTCCAGGCTGACTTGGGACGCCCACAGGAGAGCGGCGCCATGGGTGGGGGCCCCCGGGGTCCCTCTGGGATCCCCCACAGGATCCCCTGAGACAGAGCTTGGCAGCTGCCGGGCTTTGAGTGTCATTTCTGAACCAAATCCCTCGGCCCCCACCTCAGGCCTGTCTGCCTGCCTCTGTCCCTGGGAATGTCCTGAGGCCCCTGGTCCAGGGTGGTTGGGACAGGAAGCCTGAGGTTCCTTCTTAGGATTTCAGGCATCTCCCTATGGTCACGCCCCGCTCGCTCCCCAACACCGACCCTGGTTGCTGTGCCTTGAGTGTGCATGTGTGTGAATCCGCACCTGCCTCTCCATGTAGGCGAGGATCTCCTGTAGGTGGCGTCCTTCCAGAAGAACAGAGTGGAAGGTGGGGCTGTGGGTGAGAATAGGAGCCAGGGACCTAAGAGGACAGAAGGGCAGGAAAGACTCAAATGGAGGAGAGGATCCAGGTGAACCCAGTGGACGGTGAACGGCTGGGTTGAGGGGCTGCTCTCTGTGCCAGGCACGGGGCGGGGGCCAGAGAGTGTGGTGCGAGCGGGCCGGCCTAGCCTTCCCCAGCCCTCAGGCAGCGCACAGGACGGTGAGCTGGAGGGGTGTGCAGGAGACACAGTCCTGCGGCTTCCCCAGCCCATCCGCGGTGGCCTTTGGCACCTCCTAGCTCTCGGCCGCTGCCCGCTCTGTCTCCGCCTGTAGGAGTGAGTGCCTGTGCTGTCTCCCTGCCCCTCCCAGCCTCCCAGCACTGAGTCTCGTGGCCGTCAAGGCTGAGGTGGAAGAGTGGCTGGCACGGGGCAGGGAGCAGCCTGGCCCCAGGGTGAGAGCTGACGTCTGTCCAGGAGCATCTCTCTCCCTGCCAAGGGCTGAGATCCTGGGCTGCATGCCTGCCTTCTGACACAGGAGCCGGCATCCGCCCCTCATGGAACCTGGACCCCAGGCTCACCCCAGTGGCCGGGTGACAGCTGTGGCGGTGTGGTGACCGCAAGGCCCACTCTTGCCTCCCTCCAGATGCGCCTGACACCTCCCAGGCCACTTCAGGCGGCTACAGAGACCCACACAAGGGGCCCCACGCCCAGAATCCAAGTTTTGGCTTCAAGAACAGTGAGGAGCTCCTGCACTGGCCCATTCCAAGCAGTAGTGACCTGGAGCATGTCAGAGGGGAGGCCTGGCCCTTTACTGCTTATGGTGAGTGACCCAGCCTCCCCCATCCTCCACGGGCTCCACAAAGGGTTACTGAGCCACTGCCGCGTGCCAGCCGCTGAGCGAGGGACCGGCTGCGTTGCTGAGTAAAGCGCACTTAAACCCTGTCCTCATGGTTTTGTTTTGCTTTTAATTCTTACTTTACGTGGGAGCAGTGTATAGTTGATTAACAATGTTCTGTTAGTTTCAGGTATACAGCAAAGTGATTTGGTTATACATACACTTGTACCTATTCTTTTTCAAATTCTTTTTCCTTTAAGGTTATTACAGAGTACTGAGCAGAATTCCTGTGTTATACAGTAGTTCCTGGTTGATTATCTGTTTTATATACATTAGGGTGTATATGGTAATCCCAGCCTCCTTGTTTATCCCTTTCTCCACCTTTCCCCTTTGGTAACCATAAGTTTATTTTCGAAGTCTGTTTGTTTTGTAAATTAGTTCATTTATATCATTTTTTAAAGATTCCACATATAAGTGATATCACGTGATATTTGTCTTTTTCTGACTTACTTCACTTAGTATGATTATCTCTAGGTCCATCCATCTTGCTGCAAATGGCATTATTTCATTCTTTTTTGTGGCTCAGTAATATTCTGTTGTCTCTGTGTACCACATCTTCTTTATCCATTCATTGGTAGATGGTCATTTAGGTTGCTTCCATGTCTTAGCTATTGTAAATAGCTACAGTGAACATTGGGGTGCATGTATCTTTTTTTTCTGTTTTTTTTTGGGGGGGGCATGCCAGGCGGCATGCGGGATCCTAGTTCCCTGACCAGGGATCAGACCCACGCTGCCTGCTGTGGAAGCGCAGAGTCTCACCCACTGGACTGCCAGGGAAGTCCCTGTATCTTTTCAAATTATGGTTTTCTCTGGATATATGCCTAGGAGTGGAATTGCTGGATCATATGGCAACTCTATTTTTAGCTTTTGAGGAATCTCCATACTGTTCTCCATTGGCTGAACAAATTTACATTCCCGCCAACAGCGTAGGAGGGTTCCCTTTTCTCCACATCCTTTCTAGCATTTATTGTTTGTAGACTTTTTGATGATGGCCACTCTGATGCAAGGTGATACCTCGTAGCTTTGACTTGCATTTGTATAATAATTAGGGATGTCGATCGTCTTGTCATGTGCTTTTTTTTTAAAGAGTGTGAGTGAAAGTTACCTCTTGAAATTGGCTCCGTGACAGCCTTCTTTTTGGATTACCTCCCCCAGGACATTTCTGGAGGGCAGGCGTCATTTACAGTCCCACAGGCCTTGTTAATATGAAGTGCCCATGAGAAACAGTTTTAAAGTTGTTGTTACTGGAAACGGCCCCAAGGCGGCAGGATTTCTTCATGCCCAGCTTGGATGCTCAGGCAACCAAAGCCTTGGAAAGTCAAAAGTTGTGTTTGGGGATTGTAAATTACAGTGGAATGTGCTAGAAGAAATACCCAAGGGGGTTGTGTCTCATTACTTCCTCCCCCTTACCTTTCAACCTCCGGGTAAAATCCCAACCCCTGCAAAACCGCTTTGCTGAGTGTGCTGTTGTCTGGAGGCAGGGCGACTCTAAGCAAGGAGGCTGGAGGTGGGAAGCCCACCACCAGAACACGTGGAGACCAGGTGACTTTTCAAAGCTCTTACAGCCCTGAGGGTCCACCATTCTTTGGTTGCACTAGGCTTTGTTTAGCTGTAGGAGGACCCGACTCGATCTAGAAATTGTGGTCCCATGCAGAGGGGACCAGACACTACAGGTCCAAGGGGGGCTAATTTGCTGGTACATCCTCCCCAGCTCCCTCAGCCCCAGGACAGTCCAGCCATGAGAGCAAAGCCGGCTCAGGCTCCATTGATGTGACACCAGCCCAGGTCACCGAGGCCAGAGAGGAATATAGTAGGCATTTCTTTTTTCTTTTTTTTAATTTAATTTTTACTTTATATTGGACTACAGTTGATTTACAATGTTGTGTTTGTTTTAGGTATTCAACAACTTGATTCAGTTATACATAGACGTATATCTATTCTTTTTTGGATTATTTTCCCGTATAGGTTATTACAGAGTTGAGTAGAGTTCCCTGTGCTATACTGTAGGTCCTTGTTATTTTATATTTATTGGGGTGTATATGCTAATCCCAACCTCCTCATTTATCCCTTTCCCCACCTTTCCCTTGTAACCGTAAGTTTGTTTTCTAAATCTGTGAGCCTGTTTCTGTTTTGTAAATAAGTTCATTTGTATCGACTTTTGGATTCCACCTCTAAGTGACATCATGTGATGTTTGTCTTTCCCTGTGTGACTTACTTCAGTTAGTATGATCATCTCTAGGTCCATCCGTGTTGCTGCAAATGGTATTCTTTCATTCTTTTTAATGGCTGAGTAATGTTCCATTGTCTGTATGTACCACATCTTATTCATTCATCTGTCCATGGACAGTTTGGTTGCTAGTGTTTTGGCTATTGTAAAGAGTGCTGCAATGAGCATTGTGGTGCGTGGGTCTTTTTGAATTATGGTTTTCTCCGGATATTCGTGGGTCTTTTTGAATTATGGTTTTCTCCGGATATTCGCCCAGCACTGGGATTGCCGGATCCTCCGGTAGCTCTATTTTTAGTTTTTAAAGAAACTTCCATACTGTACTCCACAGGGGCTGTTACCAGTTTCCACTCCCACCAGCAGCTTAGGAGGGTTCCCTTTTCTCCACACCCTCTCCAACTGCTGTTGTTTGTAGACTTTTTGATGATGGCCATTCTGACTGGTGAAAGGTGATACCTCTTTGTAGCTTTGATTTCCATTGCTCTAATAATAGTGATGTTGAGAATCTTTTTTTTTTTTAAACAGTATGTTCCTGGGTTGTAAATTAGAGTGGAATGTGCCAGAACAAACACCTGAAGGGTTGTGTCTCATTACTTCATCCCCCTTACCCTTTCACCCCTAGGGCAAATCCCAACCCTGGAAAACCACTTTGCTGAAGGTGCTATTGTCCAGAGGTGGGGCAACCCTAAGGAAGAAGGATGGAGGTGGGAACCTTCCCAGCAGATGTGGAGACCAGGTGACTTTTCAAAGCTCTTCCGGCCCTGAGAGTCCACCACCCTTTGGGTGCACTGGGCTTGTTTTAGCTGTAGGAGGGCCCGCCTGGATCTAGAGATTGTGGTCCCGTGCAGAGGGCACCAGGCACTACAGGTCCAAGGGGGGCTTCATTTGCTGGCAGATCCTCCCCAGCTCCCTCAGCCCCATGACAGTCCAGCCTTGGGACCCAAGCCTGCTCAGGCTCCAGGAATGTGACACTAGCCCAGGTCACTGAGGCCTGAGGGGAGCATGGTAGGCATTTCTTTTTTTTTTTTTTTAATTTTTGTTTTCTATTGGAGTACAGTTGATTTACAATGTTGTGTGTTTTTAGGTGTTTGGCAACTTGATTCAGTTATACATAGACATATATCTGTCCTCTTTCCGATTCCTTTCCCATATAGGTTATTACAGAGTGTTGAGTAGAGCTCCCTGTGCTCTCCAGAATGTCCTTGTTGATTATCATCTATTTTATATATATTGGGGTATATATGCTAGTCCCAACCTCCTCATTTATCCCTTCTGCCACCTTTCCCCTTTGGTAACCATAAATTTGTTTTGAGTCTGTTTCTGTTTTGCAAATTAGATCACTTGTATCAATTTGTAGATTCCACATCCAGTGATATCATATTACATTTGTCTTTGTCTGACTTACTTCAGTTAGTAGTGAAACCGTGTATAAGCCCCTGTGTCCTTGTCTTTTGTGATAAAATGCTGACTCAAGAGTTAATGATTGGGAAATGTGAAGATAGAGAAACAAAGAATAGCTGTTGGGCTGAGGAACCGGTAACAATTTAGACTATAATTCTGCCACATAGCAGAATCATGAAACCCACAGTTCCCTGAAAGATATAAAGGCCTGACACACATTCCTGAGTTGTTTTTATAGAACGCAGACCCTCTCCAGATGAAAACTGCTGACCACAAAAACATAGACCCTAGACTGGTTGAAACCAGAAGGTTGATGAAGCTTGAAACTTCGCCTTGATGCCAACCAATCCGAGAATTGTCTGCGAGCTAATCACCCCCTCCACGTTGGGTCACACAGTCTTGAGGGCATTAGCCTGCTGTGGCCCCCTTTGCCTGGCAAAGCAGTAAAAGCTATTCTTTTCTGCTTCACCCAAAACTCTGTCTCTGCATTTCTATTTGGCACCAGTGAACAGAGGCCGAGTTTTGGCAGTAGAATTCTGGGGGCTCATCCAGGATCGACCTGTGTGCAGGTGGCCTTGAGGCGCCCCTGTGTTTGGTCGGATGCTCTGAGGTTTCTCTCCACACCAGCCTTCTTCGAGAGAGCGGAGGGTTGGAGGACTCCTCTGGAGGCCGGATCACCAGGGATCCCCTGCCGTAGGGCTGTGCCCTGATCATACCCGGCCTGCCATCTCGGTAGTTGGAGCTCCGAGGCGGGGATGGAAGACAGGAGAGAAGCTGTCCTAGCAGCTGCCAAGGCCACCTTTGCCTTGAGGACATCCCCCTCTCCTTCTGCCCACACGGGTCCGGACTTCCTGCTCTGAGAAGATATTTTGGGGAAGGAGCAAGGTAGAGTTTGGGACATCGCAGCACCTCTGCCAGCACTTCGGTAAGCCCCCTGGCATGCACTCCAAGGACCCTCAACCTTGTCCGTTTGGGGAACCTTCTGTTGCCGTTTGGGAATTTTTTATTTTATTTATCTTTTTGGGGGGTGGATTTTTTAGATCCAGTTTGTAAGGAGCAGCTTAGACTAAGGCCATGGGCTTAGTGGGACTTGTCAACCAATTTGAGCCTTGGGCTGTTTGGGATTTTTTTTGTTTGTGGCTTCTGTTTGCCAGGCAAGGATTTGGTTTGCCTTTGGTTTTGCTGGCAAGTGTTTAATTTGACTCAACGTGGGAAGTGCTTCTTCTTTGATTCCATCTGACAGCCCACTAGGGAAAATTTTGGCAGCCTGGTCAACCTATAATTATAACCCTATAAATAGGGAAAAAATAATTTAACACCATGTGGTCACAATATTCTGTAGACTCCAGAGAAAACTGGTTGAGATGAAACTCTTTTGTGGTCCATTTTACATGTGCAGTTAGAGAAACCTGGCTTGATAAAATACTTTTGTTCAGAACACTGACCTTGAGAGGACAAAACTGTTCTTAGGAGAAAACTTGAAGTTAACTCTTATCATGTCCTTGAAGTACAAACACAGCCCACTGTGCCTGGGACTTCAGTCTTAGGTTAATTAGTAGAGCCTCAAGCCAAGGAGGGGAAGGAAAGGAGGGAAGAAAAAGAAGCCTTTAAAATCAAATGTGTAAATTTGTTCTGTTATTCATAAACTGATAAGTTTAATTACAGTGCCTGATTCATGAAATATAAAAAGATGAAACAATGAGATCTCCATCCATCTGTATGTATGTCTCAGTATGTGTCTCTGACTTTGGATAATATTGCTGAGGTTAATTTGTAAATGAGCTCTATTTAATTGGCTTAAAGAAAAGTAAGTGCTTACAAATGAGATCTAAATTTACCTACTTTTGTCTTCTTGCAAGAGGGAAACTAAAGATGTTTGCATTTATTAGACACATGTCTTGTGCCACTTTGAGAAAAGAAATTGTGCTTTGGGAAAATGCATGTTTTTTGAGATTATAGAATATGTTCCTAAGTCTGCTAATCAGAGAATGCCAATATGACAGACAATTCAGTTGCTTGCTTGGTTCTCACTAGAGATTAAGGGTTGTTGTTTTTTTAATTAATTAATTTTTTTTTGGGGCTGCTTTGGGTCTTCGTTGCTGCACGCAGGCTTTCTCTGGTAGCGGCGAGTGGGGGCTACTCCTCGTTGTGGTGCGCGGGCTTCTCATTGCAGTGGCTTCTCTTGTTGCAGAGCACAGGCTCTGGGTGCCCAGGCTTCAGTAGTTGTGGCTCGCAGCCTCTAGAGCACAGGCTCAGTAGTTGTGGTGCACAGGTTTAGTTGTTCTGCAGCATGTGGGATCTTCCCGGACCAGGGCCCGAACCTGTGTCCCCTGCATTGGCAGGTGGATTCTTAACCACTGTGCCACCAGGAAAGTGCAAGGGTTTTTTTAAGGGTTAAAAATTATAACATGTAATTAAGGCTAATAAAATGATAAGGGAAACATTTCAGTGTGTAAGGCAAGTAGGAGATGTATTGCCAGTGAGAGAAGGTATAAAGATTGCAGATGCTTTTGTTGAGGAAAAAAATGATGATAATAATTTCGTCCTACAGTTGGTTGTTTCTGGATGGAAAAAAATAAGGGACAAATTAATATGAATCCAGAAATTGATTAAAGGGTTGTGAGAAAGGTACTTTGAGAAAAGAATTTTCTATGTTGTTAACATTGGTCCCCTCATTGTCAGATTTCTGCTGTCCTGCCCCTATAGCATAGAAATGGTCTACTTCTAAGTCAGGGAATTTAAAAATGAATAAACAATAGCTGTAAATTTTTAAAAATCAGGGCTATGGGAAATCCAAGATGCCCTCTTGGCTTTTCCCGGCTCCCTGACAAACCTCATTTTCTTTTAGATGGGTTAGAGATTTCTCTGGCTGCAGGGAATGGCTCACAATGAAAAGGAAAAGGTTAGAAAATGTGTTTCCCACTTGGAGTATAGTGTCTGCCATCTCCAGTGATCAAGACACCCACTTCACTGGATAAATCATACAAGACTTAATGTCACAAATTTCTTGAAATTATCACTCTATCATCCTCAATCATCAAGCAAGGTCAACAAAACTAATGGAAAAACTGGACTCAAACAGAACGAAATAAATTATAGGGGATTAAATGAACTGCTAAATATGATTATCGTTTTTATGAATTGTCTGACATACTGCTGGCTTCTAATCCTTGGCCCTTTTCTTCAAGCTACTTATGATTTACAACAATTTGGTAATTTACACCTGTAGGTAAAATTATTTTTTTCTCTCTGCCTGGTTCCTCCAGAAATTGGAGACTCTTGGGTTCTGAGCAGCCTTATCAGGTGAATGGAAAACACTGCCTCTTGGCATGTGCAGGAATCTAGATACTCTTGAGACCTGGAAAAGAGACAAATTTACCCAATCTATAGATATCACAGGCAGAATCTGCAGGCAAGCCTGGCCTTGAGAGGCCTTTTAAAAGTTTGCTCTGAAAGGGCTTCCGGGAAGATGGCGCAAGAGTAAGACGTGGAGATCACCTTCCTCCCCACAGATACACCAGAAATACATCTACACGTGGAACAACTCCTACAGAACACCTACTGAACGCTGGCAGAAGACCTCTGACCTCCCAAAAGGCAAGAAACTCCCCATGTACCTGGGTAGGGCAAAAAACTAAACAGAGACAAAATAATAGGGACAGGACCTGCTCCGGTGGGAGGGAGCTGTGAAGGAGGAAAGGTTCCCACACACTAGGAAGCCCCTTCGCAGGTGGAGACTGCGGGTGGCGGAGGAGAGCACAGCAACAGGGGTGCGGAGGGCAAAGCAGGGAGATTCCCGCACAGAGGATCGGTGCCGACCGACACTCACCGGCCCGAGAGGCTTGTCTGCTCACCCACCAGGGTGGGCGGGGGCTGGGAGCTGAGGCTCAGGCTTCCGTAGGAGCACAGGGAGAGGACTGGGGTTAGCAGCGTAAACACAGCCTGCAGGTGGTTAGTGCACCACGGCTAGCCAGGAGGGAGTCTGGGGAAAAGTCTGGACCTGTTTTCTGGACCTGCCTTAGAGGCAAGAGACTTTTTCTTCCCTCTTTGTTTCCTGGTGCTTGAGGAGAGGGGATTAAGAGCACTGCTTAAAGGAGCTCCAGAGACGGGCGCGAGCCGCAGCTAAAAGTGCGGACCCCAGAGACAGGCATGAGATGCTAAGGCTGCTGCTGCTGCCACCAAGAAGCCTGTGTGCGAGCACAGGTCACTATCCACACCTACCTTCCGGGGAGCCTGTGCAGCCCGCCACTGCCAGGGTCCCAGGATCCAGGGACAACTTCCCCGGGAGAATGCACGGCATGCCTCAGGCTGGTGCAACGTCACATCGGGCTCTGCTGCCGTAGGCTCGCCCTGCATCTGTACCCCTCCCTTCCCCTGGCCTGAGTGAGCCAGAGCCCCCGAATCAGCGGCTCCTTTAACCCCGTCCTGTCTGAGCGAAGCACAGACGCCCTCCGGTGACCTACACGCAGAGGCGGGGCCAAATCCAAAGCTGAGCCCCAGGAGCAGTGAGAACAAAGAAGAGAAAGGGAAATCTCTCCCAGAAGCCTCAGAAGCAGCGGATTAAACTTCCACCATCAACTTGATGTACCCTGCATCTGTGGAATACATGAATAGACAACGAATCATCCCAAATTGAGGAGGTGAACTTTGACAGCAAGATTTATGATTTTTTCCCCTTTTCCTCTTTTTGTGAGTGTG